TTTTTTTGATACCAGGAATTGAACTCAGGTCCTTACCTTTGCGCAGCAGGTGGCGAAACCACTGATGTAAATCCCCGGCAAATTGTAATACCAGTTCTTAAATGGATCAAACTAGATTGTGTAAGTTAGAAATGATCTCACAGTAGTAGTAGGAGAGGTGGGTTTCTACAAAAAATAGCATCTTAAAATGTATGGCCTTGAGTGGTTTGGAACTGTTATTGTTGCTTTTCAGATTATTTCTTCCTGCTCCCTTTCCACCCTCCTACAGTTATCTTTTGACAATTTGGTTCATTGCACTACTCCTTTCTCATCCCCTGGGGCCTCAGGCATTTATTTAAAGGCTGTCTCTGGCCTATCTCTGTGACCATATTGTGCCCTCTTTGCATGTGCCCTACAGTAGTTAGCAGTTTATGTTATTGTATTCTTTCCCTTGGATAACTAGCTTTGCTTGTACTTATTGAGTGAACCCTGAGTAATAAATTGTAACATGGAAAAAAAGTATATGTTGTGAGTTGTTCAGCAATTGTAATACAGTGCTACGTTTATTTGCAAATTTAAATCACTTCTGGGGAAGATGGCCATGGTCATGTTGTCATCTGATCTGTAGTTCATGAACAGAAGCAAAATTTTGCTGAATGCTTCTGTTTGAGAACCAAATTGTTCATGAACAGAAGCATTCATGAACCAAGGTATTACTGTACTTCAAAATGTTCTTGGGTAATGAAACTGGTTTTAAACATATTAGTGTACTCAGGTGTCCAGCTGAGAAGTTAATGGTAGCCTTATGGTTCCAGTTGCTGTATGGGTTTAGTGGTGTCTGAGCATTATTAACAGTTGTATGACAAATACATTGAACTTTTGTCTAATTTACTTTATATATCAATACCAATATCCCTGTCACCAGCCAAAGTGAGCTTTTTTTTCACCCAATTGATAACCAGACCTTGATAAGTGAGATAGTACTGTTGTATTCTGATATCACCTGGCAGCCTCTCCCCACAGGTAAAGCTGTGCTTTTTCCTCTTTCACTTAACGATTTACTAGACATTCATGGTGTATTAATATCTTGAATGGGAAATATTTGTAAATTTCACAGCAGCCACTGAAAGTGGTAGAACAAACAGAATAGAATAATGAATACAGGTAGTAGAAGGAATGTGAGATACTTAGACACTTCAACAACAATATATTGGTTCTTTTTTCCATATTTTAAAAAAGTTATTTTCATTTTATGAAAAAATAAATTTTCATAATCAAATAATAAGAGAAAAACAATAGTTAGTGCACAGTGTGTCATTATATTCAAAATAGTACAAAACATAAAGCAAAAAGATTGCTACAAAAAAGAAACAAACATATATATTCATTCTTAACCAAGGATTTTAGTTAACTTCTAACTTCCATATAATTCTCAGAATCTTCAGGAGCAAATGAAATGCAACAGAACATTTCTTCCAAAGGTGTGAAATGATTATGTACCTTGAGTAGATTAAATGTTTTCCTTATTAATGCAAACTTCTATTCTTACCTTAAAGGACTTGATTTTACATGTCCATTCTGGAATTCACATGTAAGCTATTACAAACTGTATGACTTTGAACATTACACAAAATGTGATTTTATTTAACTTGTACATCTGTAATACTCTGAAAACCATCGCTTAATTGAAAGTGTGGTTCTGAAGATATAACTGAATGTAGTGTTTAGAACAGTATTTTTTCGTAGTCACAGTTAAATAATGGGAAGCTGTCATGATCAACATATTATTGAGAAATTCATGGTTCAAGATACGGGCTTCGTAAGGAAAATTGATTCCAAAATCAATTGAAAAATATTAGCTAATTTAAGTGGGGTGCATTTTTAAGTTTCATGGCTTCTAATGCCTTACTTTAATGGCAAGTAGCTTAAAAACGCTAGGATAAAATAGATAATGCAAACTTCTGGTATGAATTTGGTAAATAGAGATACTATCAACATCATCTATTTTGATGTTTATTAATTTTAAAATAGTTATTTGAACTCTAAAAGTGCTTTACCCCAGAGGGCTGAAAAACCATCCAAATTATTTTTTACATCAATCATTGGCCAGATCAAAAGCAGGTAATCATCATTTATTTATATGCTCAAAATATAACACAAATGGTATAAAGGTTTGCCCATCACTATTTTCTACACCTGCCTAGCTATTTCTATCCATTTATCTATCACCTGTCAATCTAGATTTACACATAAATATCCTAGTGATTCTGGTTTTCTGGGGAAGCTTGAATACTAATAAAATTGTAGCCCTCATGGAATTTTTTGGGATTTCTTCAGAAAATTAAAACTAGAACTCCCATATGATCCTGGAATGACTCTAATGCACATGTATCCAAATCATCTGACATCCGTATATAAAGACACAAGTACAGTCCCATAATCATGGCAGCATTATTCACAATAGCCAAGATATGTAATTAGGCTAAGTATTTGTCACCAGATGAATATATAAATAAATGTGGAAAAGAAAACCAGGGGACCATAAATATGCTGTAAAGAGAAGGAAAGCATTTGGTACAACATGGATGAGAATACACAACATTCTGCTAACAGAAATAAGGCAGTCATAGAAAGATAAACTTCATGAACTCACCTGTAGAGTGAGAAACATTAAATCCCATGAAAACAGAGTTAAATGGTGGCTACCAGAGATAATGCATCAGGGAGTTGAGAAGGTGTTTGTCAAAGAATACAATTTCAGTTGAGAGAAATAATTTCAAGATATCTATATTTATATTATCATGAATATAGTTAACAATAAGATGTAAAACTGAAATAAGTGTAATAAAACACAGAGGGGTAATGTATTTGTAAAAGAAATACCTGATCAGGTTCACGTAATCAGAATGTACAAAGAAATCTTACAGGTCAGAGGTAAAAGTATACAATTCACTAGTTCAAAATGAGCAAAACCTTGAAAAGACATTTGTTACACAACATATGGAATCTACAAAGTACCGGAAAAATGCATAGGTAGTCATGGGAAAATCAAAATCAAAATCACCATAAGATACAACTATAATTCCAATGGTAGGCTTCACTTTATATAAGATTGGAAATCACAAGTATTGATGAGTATATGAAGATATTAGAATCTTTTTACACTAGAGTGCTACATGT